TGTATTAGAAAATTTTATTTATTAAATATACAATTAAAATCATTAACATGATATTGACTTAGAAGATAATTAATTGTTAAACATTACTTAAACGCACTCTTAAATAAAATTTTGCGTAAGAATAACAATAGTGGTGGTGTTGGTGGCCCAATGGTGAAAACTCCAAAATGTGTGTTTAGGGAGTGGGGTTTGAATTCCCTTGTGCACGAAGTTGGTGAATAGTTTTCAAAATTTGTGAATTAGATGGTTCATCAGTTCAAAAACAAACAGTTTTGATCAGTTTCTCCGAGTTTTGATCAAATTTGACTAACTTTGACTGAGTCTACTACAAACCGGGTTTATGTCCAAACTCAAACCAATTTTATAACCAATTTTGGTTTAACTGATCAGATTAATCGGTTTGATCCAAATTTTAAAACAGTGGTTGTAAGGAAGAAATGATTCTTCCCCTTACATCTCTTATTCTCTTTTTCCTTATTTTGATCACATAGGTCCACATACCAAAACTGGTTGCAAAAGGGTAAAATCGTCATCTCTTGTAAATACATGCATATATATATATATAGAAGAAAATGGAGATACATGTGCTCAGATGAGAAAGGGAAAACAAGTTTTCCACTTACCAAACAGAGAGACAAAGAAGGAAATATGACCAAACTCTAATTTTTTTGATAAAAAAAAATTATTATATAGTTTAAATTGTATTAGTTGCATAATTTAAATTATTAGATGGAAGTAGGTTTTCATCCCTCATATAATAAATCTTATTTTGTAGTTTAATATAATCCAAACAGCATAAAACAATGGACTCCTTTTGATATGCATGTAGGATTAGAGATGATTTTTTTATGGCTTTCCTAACCTATTCCCTTTGTCTTAGCATAATAAATATTTTTTGGTTTTATCTTCTATTTAAGAATTTAAGAATAATTTTTACTTTTATCTCTTTTATTTTTAGTATGTTCAACTTGAGGAGAGGAAAGAAGAATAGTGAAAATTCTTTTATTTGGTAAATGAAAATTTTGAAAGAGATGAGGGTTTATTCAAATAAGAAAATGGAAGGGGAAAGAAATAAAATGATATTGTATTTTTTTCTATTATTTCTTTCAAATTAAATATGCTATTAAATGAAAAATAAACATAATTTTTTATAAAAAA